AGCTGCGGCCATCTTTGATACAATCTCACTTTCTAAAAGCATTTGCATCATTATCAGGACTAAAGGTGCGGAGGAAATTTCAGAAAAACTGTCAAAGAGAAGTGGCTGTAATTTAAGTTATAACATTTGTAACAGATATATGAACCTACATGTATTTCTTATAACATCAAAAGCTTTATGGAATTTGGGGACATTTATAAATATTTATTTTGAAGCGCATATGATGTTCCGTAATACATGCAATATTAAATTTATTATAAAAATATTGGTGTAAAATCTGATTAGAGCTTGACAAAGTTGTCAGTGTAATGCTATTTAACATAAGCCCCAATTATATTATGAAAAAACTAATATATAATAAGTCTTCCGGTATATATTGTAGCCTAAATGTTATTCTCCACCTCGTTATCTATTTGTCTGTATCAATTCTTCTATTCAAACACTTGTATTTATAATATCTTTGTGTACTTAATCCTATTAGTAAGATTGGGATTTATTTGAAGTTCGTTGAAGTTTCGGTGGTCTGCGCAGAGCCGCAGCGGCGCGGGCGGTGCCATGGAGTGCGGCGTCGCGGCGGCGGCGGCGGCGGCGGGTGCGTACGCGGCGCGCGCGCAGCCCGCCGCGCCCCCCGCCCACCCTGCGCTCTCGCCCACCGAGCGCTCGCCCGCCAAGGCCGGACTGCACGTCAACTTCAGCGATAAAGGCGAGGTGAGCATGCGCCCGAGTCCGAGCCTGAGCCTGAGCCCGAGCCTGAGCCTGAGCCGTGGCTAATTTCCTTGTAACGGTGTGGATTGTGCCCGTTCGCCAAATACATATAAATAATGTCTATGCTGCCTATTAAAAAATAAAGATGCTTTTTGTTTTCTGCTCTCTTGTATTTAAACACAACGTTTTCACATAACATATATATGATACATAACAGTACTGGTTTGAGTGCGCTGTCTCTGTTCCGTTTCTCTGTTCCGCCTTGTAAAACAGTGGTAGAGCCCGCTTTAACATCACGAATTGGCCGGTTTTCGCCCGGTGCAATACAACAACCACACAGAAGACAGGCAGGCAGAGGAAGAAATTCCGAGTTTTCTCTGATGAGTGTGGTACCGGCAGCCTATTATTAGTCCCTTTCTCCTTCCTACCCTTTTTTTTATAAGGAAAGGATGGGAAGTGGAAGTGGACTTACCGGATGAGAGGATGCATGGAAATGTTTTCTTTCTGTGCATCCTCTCCTCCGTCGATTAAAGGTAGGCAACGCATATGCACTTGCGTATGTCTATGGGCAACGGTCACTTCGCTATTTCAGCGATTTCAGGTGGCCGCTCGCTCGTTTGTCACCAAATGATGTAAATAAAAAAATCTTATAAAAATGGATGGGAAGTCGAAGTGGATTTTCCGAATGAGAAGATGCATGCAAGCGGTAAATATACCTTTCCTATGGATCCATTTCTCCATCGATTTAAGGTATGCAACGCATCTGCGATTGCGGATGTATATGGGTATGAGTCGCTTCGCTGTTTCAGCGATTTCGGGTGTCCGCTCGCTTGTTTGCTACCTTATAACATAAATAAAAAAACATTAG